AATGCTAGCTGCCTGTCACGTTCTCTCGTCCTGGCCAAACCTCCGCTCTCTAACCCCCACCCCGCTCCCCTACCCACACCCCCTCCCCTACCCACTTTGATGCATTTTTCAAATTTCGCCTTGGGGCGGAGTTATCTTTTCACAGGGTGGGTAAGATACACTTTAAAGGGCGTGTGACGTCAAATTTTTGTAATAAAAATGAAGTATTTTTGGAAGGATAACACTTATAACATATTGTAAAAAAAGATTTCACACCACTGAGATGAACAGTTGTTGAAATATTTGCATGTGAAGTAACAGGAAGTGATGTCAAAGAAAGGGGAATGTCTGAATGTGAACAGAGCGCTGCTAAAATGTCTAACAACACAGACTGTAGACAAGAATCTGATGTTTCTTTAGATTATTTTAATCTCTATCATAGAGATATTAGAAAGAGTCCAAGTTCAAAGAATATTGTTTAAATAAACACAAACCAGGGAGTTTTCTTTCTCAGAGTTCCCCTTTGATGTCACTTCCTGTTTCACTTTAGCTGTGCCAAGATCAAAAGAAAATGTGCCAGTTATGTGACAATGGGTAAAATAATGTGTACTATGCCAAAATTTTTAAATATAAACATATTTTCTTTGCATTTTTGTATTTCATGGATATGCATGTCACAGGCACTTTAAAAACACTGAGAAGATAAGCATTTAGTGTTTAAATTGAAAACAACAGCAACTGAAATGATAGAATCAAGAAAACTTTGATTTGCACAATAGACGACTTTTTCTCTAGCCTTAAATTGTTTGGAAATTTTAGTTAAGTTTATTCATGTCTTTAAAAAACAACAAAATAAATTCAACAAACAACAAAAATACAAATCATAAATTAAATGAAAGGTAGCAGAAGAAGAAAAAAACTTATATCTGCCACTTTTTCTCAAGTTAATAAATTCAATCAAAAATATTCTTCAGATTACAAAAACAAACAAAACTATTAAGAAATAAAGGTTTAACTCCTTGAGCAACAATTCATACATTTACATATTTCTCCAACAAATCAGTCTTTATCATTCTCTTAAATATATACATTGATCTGGTATTTTTAATGTCATCTTCCAGATTATTCCATAATCTTATACCCTGGATTGAAGTACTCCGTTCCTTCAAAATGGTTCTAAATTTGGGTTTAACAAACATCTCTATCCCTTTGAGGTTATAACAACTCTCTCTTTTAACAAAGTGTAATTGAATGTTTGAAGGTAATGCGTTTTTATGAGCCCTAAACATAACTGATAAAACACCATAATTAACCAATAACTTCAACTGGTGGAACAATGAATTTGATGGGTGATAATAATGCTTTCTGGTGATAATTCTTACAGCTCTTTTCTGTAAAACAAAAACAGGGTGTATGGTTTATACGATTTTTCCCCAAACATCAATTCAGTAGATCAAGTGTGGAGCAATTATTGCATTATATAATATAAACAGAGCTTTATCATTGAATAAATCCTTTACTTTGTACAATACTGCAATGGATTTGGCTATTTTTGTTCTTAAATGATTTATACGAGCTCTCCGTGTCAGCTTCTCATCAATAACTCCCAGAAACGTCACCTCATCGACTCTAAATGGAACAGAAGGGAAAGTTATGTCATTCACATGAAAACTGCTTTTAACATTTATTAATTTGAGTTTTTTAATACATGCGTTGATCTTTTAATGTTTTATTGCTCAGAATCTTCATCATAAAAGCGTCTGATTGGATCCACAGTTCAGATCCTGAACTTGTGTTTCTCCTCAGCTCGTGGGAGGACAGCAGCAGTTCTTGGTGCTGCTCGGAGCGGGGGGCCGCAGGACCAGCAGGACCGCGCTCGGATCCAGCAGCTGCAGGAGCGATGTCAGAAGCAGGCCCTGCAGCTGCAGAGCCTTCAGGCCCAGTTAAAGAAGACCTGCCTGTGCCTGGATGTTTTCAGCATCACCACGCAGCACTTTTACCACAAGGTAGGCTTTGAAACAACTCTGAGGCTTCAGGCCATTTTAAAACAAAAATCATTTTTCTTTCCTGTTTCTGGCACTAATTAAAAATTTTTTATCTTGAGTCATAAAGTCACTTATTAGAGTAAAATCACAAGGATACAATCTTGTTAAATTAGCTTATTGAAATAAATACTTAAATTTTTCTGCAACTATTTGTTATAGTCCAAGTCATATTATTTATAAATATATCATAAAGTATAACATATTGTATTGTAGGAACATTTTAAATGAATAGAAACGAGCTCTTTGGATAATTTTGTATTTTCTGCAAACAGTCCCGTTATTGAATCTGAATTATTTGATCATTTTTAGCTTTTTATTTTCTCCTGAAGCGTCAGATTGCAGCTACAAAGCTTGTTACATCCCTTTGCTCCAAACGACACCTGTAGCAGCCAGCGTTTGTTGTCAGCATCACTTTGTTCACAAAGCCAGTTGCTTTCTTTAAGATCAGTTTTTAGGTGCTGACATTTTATAAAAGGGGTTTTCTGCAGAATAATTTTTCCCTTCAAATTATCTAACATGTTTTCTTTAAAAAAAGAAAACAGTTTTAACTAGAGAATTTGCATTTCCTACGAAAATGCAAGGGTGAATGCCTGTTGCGCAAAACATAAGCTAAAAGCTAAAGGTAGCAAACTCAAGTTGAAAGTAGCACCC